TGAAAACCAAACCAATATCCATCAGCATACCTTGAGTATTATGAAAATACTATCAAAACATACCTGTATTTTGTTGGTTAAAATTTTTACCTTTGTTTGGATTCGTCTGTACAGGATGTTGCAGAAATAAGCTATCAAAAAGGAAACCGGTTATCTGTACTGCACTTTACGGAACACAGCTGATATTTTTTGTGATAGTAGAGGATACATCTGAATTTTTACTCATGAAGATAAAATTCACGAGTGATATTGAAAATAATTACTATTGAGTTCCATTCCAGATTTAAGGCTTTTGCAGGATAGGGAAAAATAGGCAACTTGATTTTTCGCTACTTCAATTTAGATGCTTTTTCGCAATTCCTAATTGGAAATCATGGAAGTCTTCAACTCTTGCTTTAAAAACACTTATTTAAATATTTACTTATAAAAAGCAGTGTAACAGTGTAAAGCTGCATAAGTACGAAGACTATGAAATTGTTCACGTCTTGTAAATCATCAATTATCAATGTTTTTATTGTGCTGGAGACAAATGGCATAGTAGAAATGTTTCATTTACTGGGTTTTTTTGGAAAAATCTTGGAAACAGGATTTTTATAAAAAGTGTGAGAGGTTTGGATAGTTTACAGTGGAAGATTATGAAAAAAAAGTTGAACTAAGTAAATAAAGAAAAACGTTACATATTTGTTTTCTATGGTGAGAATAGGTTTGAATTCGGTTTTGAAGTCAAAAGGAATTGTTTTCAATATCGTTCGTAAACTTTATCTTTGCGAGTAAAAACTTGGAATATTACACTAGTATCGGACAAAAAGTCAGCTCGATTGGCTGGTAAACAGTAGAAACAAATGAATTTCTCTTTGAGGATCCTATAGTAACTTGTTTTCAACTGTTCAACTTTGAATATTGGATTATTTGCCTTGGAGAAAAATTTACGTTTTTTTTGCGAATGTTAAAAAGAAAGCTATAGATGGAGAATGTGTCGATCTTCCTAATTAAAATAGGTTAACCCCTTGAGTCCCAAATTGTTTCTGCTGGATTCAGTTCAAGAAGATTGTTAGATTTGCTCGTTTTAGACAGAAACATATAAATGACTATATATCCCTTTCACAGATAGTTGAAGAAGATTCTAGAGCATTCTTTATTACTTCATTCCAACGTAGTAGGTACTGACTTTAATAGATTATATTGTGAGAAATGATTATAAAACATGTGTAGCTTTTTTGCTACTATGGGACTCAAAGAGTTAATCGACTACCCTCGAGGATCTGCTGTTGGCTAGAGACCTGTAATAGACTCCGATTCGACTCCGACGGAGTCGGAGTTGAATCGGAGTCAATCTTTTTTTTCGGAGTCGGAGTCAGAGTTGATGTAAATCTTAGAGGCTTCGAAAATGTTTTTATTCTTTTCTTATATAACATGTTTATTTTTCATAATACTAAAGTCAAGTAAACGAAACTATCAATTCAATAGTCAATTCACATGAAATAGCAATAAAAACAAAAGAAAACATTTGTACAAAATTAACTTTCACCATAGATCATTATAAAAAAATATCAGTACCATTCAATATTCCCACCTTCGTCATCTGATGAATGTGTATTATCTTCTCGTGCCTTTTTGACAACTGTTTCGCTTGAATGTTCAGACATCATTGAAACTTGATCAGAAATAGATCTTTTTGTTGGTACTTTATTGATTTGATGAAGCTCTTTCAATAGAACTAAGTTTTTTTGAAGAAAGATGAGTTGATTAAACTTTTCACCACCTAAATTCGTTCTACGCTCACCGACACTAAGTTTTGAAGATGAAAAAAGGCGTTCAACTATGGTGTTAGATGCCGGCATTGCAAAAATTTTCCTGGCAATCAATGATAACGTTGGAAGGGTGTGTGGGTGTGGGTGTGGGTGTAGGTGTGGACACGCAGTGCACCTACGGACGGATAGTCACACTAACAGTTATACTTGCACCCACATTCTAATATTTTAACAATGGCCTTTGTCTATTGAACCATTGTTATATTACCAGCGTCTATAATGAAGAATCGTTAGTGGAACACGTGGCGTACAAACGGACACACATTGTACACGAACATACATGTACCGTAACACGCACAGAGTGCACAAAGCATATGTACGCGCATCAATAGCATACGGGTTGACATGAACAGCTATTCGTCTTCCTTTTTCTTGTTTGGTTCATCACATTGGTCGTCCTGTTTCACGTCGAACTGGATAGCTACTGAAGTTCGTTTTTCTCTTTCTCTCATATATATTACGCAGTAGAAACAAGATAAAGAAACAAACCTTCAACCGTCTTCTTTCGTTTTCTCTTCGCAGCATTATCTTTGACTCTTTCTTTTATCATCTGCATCTCCTGTAGATGCAATCATAAGACCTATCAACTTGTACTTGATTACAATGCAGAAAAACAAAGTATAGATTTATCTGATCAGCTTTCAGCATACTATACATGCCTCAGACGATCTATAAAATGGTATCAAAAGGTCGCATTTGAATTGATATTTCGAATGGCAATAGTTAATGTCTATGTGATCAACAAGGAAAATTATGACACAAGTCATATGATCAGGCTACAGTTTCGTGAAAGTCTTGTACAATCTTTACTCCTTAGTGCGTCGTTCGAGAATCTGAAACCTACTTCGAGACAACAGCTAACAAGTAATTTGAAACGTAAACTCGCTGACCACAAGCTAGAAAAAATGGACGGATCTATACAGAATGTCCGAAGACGCTGTGCTGACTGCTATGAGAAAATCAGACAACAACAATCAAGAGAAGCGAGCCATGTGACAGCAAAGAAAATGAAAACTTTCTGTTCTGATTGTGACAGACTTTTTTGTCTTAATTGTTTTAATGATAAACATCAAGCTATGCAATAAATGATTCAAACAAGAGCGAGATGTTAAAATATAGTGGAACCCACCGATGGGTTCCATCGCCTCGAAAGATTAAGTAAATAAATATCTTTAAAACAGAAATGAAAATCTCTTTTTCAGTATAAGTTATGTTTAGTTTCACAAACATGTCAAGAAGTTAGCTTTTTATTTGAAACAATTTTTATCTAATGATCTTGTTCTAGATCCATCTACTAGTTTATTATTTTTTTGAATCAATTTATTTCGATATTATACAAAAAAAAATACAGAACAATTTATTAAAATAATTTAGATGTATGATAAAAGTCTTGATGAGAAAAAACCATCAATAACGTGTTGATGAACAATTGTTTTAAATGCTGATTGATACTGTCTCTTCTGTAAGTTCAATAAATGTTTGAATTGAATATTAAATGAAAAAAGAAAGCGAATTAAAATTATATTTGGAAATAGACAAACCTTTTTTTATTTGATTGATTGATGGTTAAAAAATATTGAATATTATTTAACATATATGAAAATATAATCAACGTAATCTTAGTTTGATTCAATAGAAATTTATTCTATTTGATTAATTATTTTGATTTAAATCCTTCTCTATTCAATAAAAATGAAAAAGTTTTTTCTCTTGGTTTGTGAAGATATATTTTAATATAACAAATACAAAAATACATGTCTCATATAATTACATGAACAAAAACAAAAAAAAAGAAAAAAATTTGATAATGACATAAATGAACGAGTGAATTTACGCAGAAAAAAGACGAGAATTTTAGTTCATATGAATTACTCTAGGAGTTTCTTTTAGAAGTCGAAAATACAAAAAATATGCCATTCATGTTTACCGAGCTATATTTTCACCATCAAAGTAATAGCATATTTTTTCGATTTGCTTGAATTCAAGGCTGCTTGCTTTCTGAATATAGTCACCTTTGATAAAACACGTATCTAACAAGAGAAGGTTCCCAGGTGTGTCTTAGGGACGACGTGTGGGTGTGGAGTGTGGGTGCAGATGGGTGTGAGAGTAGAGAAGGAAACATTCACACCCACACCAAATTTCGACTATCTTGCAAACTACACTTATAATTCACACTTTTCGACTAGTCCAATTGCGAGGTATTATAAAATGACATGGTCGTCGTGAATTTACACTTTGATTAGCATTAGCATGAATTTCATGAGCACCTTGATCAACATAAACATTAACTTCACGAACACCTGAATCAATGTCAATACTACCTTCAGCCACATCTGACAGTACTATCTACAAAACATACAAATAGATTAAGCTATCAGTCAAAATTTTGAATGAAGAATGTCTTTCATATATATAGATTGAATCAAGTATCAAAATAGCTATCTGTCCATTTTAATGAATACCAACATTTATAGACTGTCGCATTCACATATTCAGCATGTTTCATAGAAATCGATGAGTATCCAGGTTCCGCTCGTTCTCTCTTGAAATGATCGTCTTACACTCTGAAAAATTAGATTTTATACTAAACCTTTCTAAGTTCATCCTGAATTCTGTCAAGCTTTTGCTTAGTTTCACAGGGATGTACTCATAGTCACAACTTGAAGTCGAGACCAGTGCGACATCGGAAGATGTTTCCTTGTCAATAGACTATGTCTGATGGCACAAGTCTCATCTCAAAAACTTTTTGTGGTCTAGAAAGGTTTCCATATGAACTATTTAGTTAATCATAGTATCTTACTAGATTCATCAAAGTAATAAGTTGTAAGATGATCTTGTCGAAGATCATCACCATAGTTGAATATAATTCGATATTCTTCACATTTTGTTGTTTCACACACAAAGAGAAAACATAATTTTGTACTCTAACAAATACAAGAAAAACTTATTTTAGAATAACTTTGTTTTTTTCATAATTAGCAAGTGCTTATGTTGAATATTTTAATTTTGTTCAGAATGATTCATTGTATTATAATTTCGGGATTCTAATGAGAGTGAACTTGGATCAATATTAAGAGATTAAATTTGATATATTGAACCATCACCATCAAATAATTTTAAAAATTTGCGTAATCTATTTGTCCATATATATCTCCATTTAAACAAAAATAAAAGCTCAAATTATGGAAGCATCGATTCCTGATTTTTGACACTAAACATAGCTTATTTTCAATACTTAGTACTGTCAATTTCGACCGATTCTTCGAGTTATGTCGATTCAAATTTGATTGTTCTATCCGATGTTGTCGTTGCATTCGTCAAAAAACGAATAAAAGATAGAAGAATTGGCCAGCATCGGCTAAAAATCATGAATTTTTGATCAATCTAGATCAATTCGTGTAGCTTTCAATTGTTTTTTTATCAAATCTAACAGTGGAATCAGATAGAACTATTAAAATTGAATCAGCATGATTTGAAGAATCGGTCGACATTGACAGTTCTAAGTATCGAAGGTAAGCGATGTTTAATGTCAAAAGTCAGGAATTGGTGCATCACTACCTTAAATGAATATTTAATTATTTCCATTTTAGCTGAACGTTGTATTCGCTTAAAAGTAGTTCTCCGTTTAACACGTTTATCAACAAGTTGTTTTTGTCCTTTAATTGATAAACGAACTTGCGAAGTCTGTTCGTCTTCCTATATTAAATAAAAATTAGTTTTATCCTGTTAAATATTATACTAAATTGTTTGACAAATGTTTGATACATACCGCTTATAAATTTATCTTTTAATAAACTATTATTTTCATATATCAACATATGCATACCTAAATATTTGTTTATTGAAAAAAAAAAGATCTTTTCTTATTTGTACAAACTAAAATAAATAATTTGAAGCTGTTGTTGCCTTCGAATAAGAATATTTTCTGATCTGTGGTCTGGTGAATCGAAGTTACAATTTTAACTTCGATTCACCAGATCACGGATCATTCCATTGTTTCACACATTGTAGATCAGAAAAAAAATTATTGGTGCAACGCATAAGCCAATATATTGTAATGGGGAAATAACATGTATATAGACGTCATAGGAGTATAACATAACTTTGAACACAATGTAGTCGTAACGAGATCTGTTAAGAAATGCCAGAAATACCGATATTGTAAAAAAATCCAATTGAAGGATGTTTTTTTTGATTGCTTTCAAAGTTTCTGGTTTTCCAATATGCTTGCGAATTCATTCCGATTCTGGTATCATTATGAGTTTATAGCTTTTTCTGGTATTCAATTAAAATGTGGGGTATGGGTGTGGATGTCACTGAGACACCCACACCGTAGTTTGTTTTTTTGTAAAAAAACTAATTATAAAATAAAATCGGTGCTCGAGAAAAACTTGATTTTTGCTGTTGATTATTAGATTTCATTGATTTATAAAATCAAGATGAATTTTGACAATATTCATTTGATTTTGATACAATTGGTGTTATTAATTTTTTTTT